TTTAGAGATAGATAGATAGAGAGAGAGAGAGAGAGATATTGATTACTTAACTACTAAGTAGATTCTACTACAATAACTACCTATCTAGGATTTAGATAAGTGTCAACATCTCAAGTGCATTATCTCTATCATCCCTCCACAAAACTCATGCTTCGATGGCCCAAGCATTAGATTGCGACAGTGAAGTGTGAACAAAGGTGCACTAAGTCCCTTAGTCAAGATATCGGCAAACTGCTCGTTGGAAGACACAAACTACACTTGAAGTTTGTTTGAAGCCACTCTTTCGCGAAATAACACAGGTTGTGATGATACTGTGATTTGCAGAAAACTCATAACTTGTTGAATCCAATCAAGTTCAGCTGCAGTTGTAGAGAGGGCCCGATATTTAGCCTCGGTAGAAGACCGTGAGAATGTTTGTTGCTTTTTAGAAGACCATGATATAGGATTGATGCCTAAAAATACCACTAAACCAGTAGTGGACCTCCTGTCATTAGGGTCACCTGTCTAATCAACATCACTAAAAGCCTTGAGGGTCAAGTCTCCTCGAGAATATGTAATACCACACTCCTTATTTCCTTTCAAATAACGCAGGATTCGTTCAACAGCAGTCCAGTGAGAAACATGAGATGTTGCATAAATTGACATACCTGATGCATAGAGAATGCAATATCAGGTCTAGTGAATGTGAGATACTGTAAAGCACCTACAACACTCCTATATAAACCAGGATTTGAATATGGTTCTCCATCATCCTTCAGTAAGCGATTATAAGTCAAGCAAGGTGTGTCACAGGATTTGGATTCAAACATTTCTGTTTTCTGCAATAAGTCAGTAACATACTTGCGCTGGGACAAGAACAAACCAGTGGAGGTTGCAGTGATTTGAATACCAAGAAAGAAATGGAGAAGACCTAATTCCTTGATATCAAAATCAAAAGTCAAATCAGAAATCACTTGTTGAATGGCTTGAGATGCATTGCCTGTGATGATAATGTCATCCACATAAAGTAGAAGAATGACAATATTAGATCCCACAGGTTTCACAAACAAGGAAGAATCCGAGTAGGTGTTCTTGAACCCCAATTTAGGTAAAAATGTGGTAAACCATTCATTCCATGCCCGTGGAGCCTGTTTGAGGCCATAGAGAGATTTATGCAATTTACATACTAGGTGAGGATTAGTGGAGTCTTCACAACCAGGTGGTTGGGCCATATATACCTTTTCTTGAAGAATGCCATGTAGAAAACCATTCTTGACACCAAGTTGTCGGAGAGACCAATTGAAATGAGCAGCAAGTGCAAGGACAATCTGCATTGTGGTAGGTTTAACCACAGCACTAAATGTATCACAGTAATCAATTCCAGGTTCCTGACTAAATCCTTTGGCGACCAATCTGGCTTTATGTCATGCAATAGACCCATCAGAATGTCTTTTGATTTTAAAAATCCATTTGCAGCCAACAAGATTCTTGTTCGGTGGCAGTGAAACTAAACTCCAAGTACCCTGAGTATACAATGCCCCAATCTCTTCTGTCATAGCTTGTAACCATACTGAACTTTTAAGAGCAGTTTTGTAAATGAGAGGTTCAGTTTGAGACATGTCAATCTCCTTGGAAACTGATAAGAAGGCCTTTTTCTTGATAATGCCACTTTTGCTTCTTGTCTGCATAAGATGCAAATTGAGAGGAGGAATATCCAACACTACTTGAAGATTGTCAGGATTATAGTCAAGTGCCACAGGGATATGAGAGAAATCACTTGTTGCACTAGTAATGGACTGAGAGGAAGTAGAAGGAATGGACAATGATATATCAAATGGTGAGCTACTATGAGGTGGTGATCTGAGAGAAGAGACATTGGAATGAATGTGCACTGGTGAATCAGGTACATGGGCACTACAGTGTCTCATCTCCTTTGTTAAACATTACCAATAGAATTCCTCAAATCCCTTCTCTTGCCTCCTAAGTTACTATAAGAAAAGCATGACTTTAAGTAACCCATAATCAATACCAAAATCAATGAAAAGAAATACACGTACATGAATAGTGTATAAAATGTATCAAGTGCAAGTTATGTGACTTAAACTGAAAATTGAGTAGATTAGCTTTAATTCTTATAGTATAACTAATGCAAACTAACCTAAGCAAAAGTGTTTAGCTTCAAATAACAAAATTCAGTTTCTAATGGAAGTATGGAACATATCAAGTCTAGCCTTAAAATAGAGTAGGGCTCTTTAAGGGGCTAGTTTAGCCCCGATTCTTGCTCAAGGCTCTTGGATGGTCAACTTAGGAAGGTTCTAATAGCCAATAAAAACTAGTCACCCAACACTGTTTAGCTCCTAGCCTCTCACACCATTAGAAACAAAATTTAGAGAGTGTTTAAATTTCATGAATAACGACATTTTGAAAAGCCAAATAAAGCCTATACTCCCTCGTCTAGAGATGGCAAATCAACCCATTGAGTTGTTAATGGGCACCCTTTAAGACCCATTTAATTTGATCTCAGCATAATATAGATGTGAGATTGATAGTGGTGGTGATGGTGTAAGGTAAAATTAAACTAAATGAGTCATAATAGGTACCTATTAACAATCCAATGGGTTAATCTGCTACCTCTAGCCCATGCTGTTGCCACCAAACTTGCTCTTACGGTAAGAAGAATTGATAAATTTTTATAACTTTAAGTTTTTTTTTTTTTTTTTTTATGGGAGCCTCAGTGTCCCTATTTTTTGAAAGAATAGTTTCAAGTATCTCCAAATGAGAGGTAAGAGATGTCAAATTTTAAACCTAAAATTTAAAATTGAATCTTATAGGCACTTTGATCCTTTTTAAGTTTTGTTATCCACCCGAAATGTCAAATTTAAACTATTATTCATTACATGGTTTATTTTCATAATTGTAATAAATATTTTTAGAACAAAAACAATAATAAAAATGATACAAAAACATTTATTAATTAATTAAAATGGATTTGAGGTTGTTATCAAATTCACCTTTGCTGCCAATTCACATCATGCCACATAGAATTAACATTTTGGTTGAAAAACACTAATGTTGTCTTTTTTATTGTTAGCGGTGATGTGGATTTTTTTTAGGCTTGTTTTGTTGAATCAATTTTTTTTTTTTTTAAATTAATGAGTATTAAGTAATTTGGCTACATTCATTATTTTGGAAAAAAAAAAAAAATCAGATTCAACAAAGATACCAAACAAGCCCTCAACTTTCACTTAAGCAATAACACCAATGAGATATGTTAAGGAGACTCTCTCAAAGGTGAGACTCTCCATGAACTCTGTGTCCAACCCAACCCTATTACAAGAACACTAAACTCATGTTCCAACACTTTTTTAGGCCCTTCAGGCAACAATGGAACATGGCACCTCATGTTTTTGCCATAATTCTTTATAATATTGACACAAATTTTGTTATTAAATTATAAAATGATAGAGAATTCATCAAAAATCTCACTTTAGAAGGTTTTCTTAACACTTTTCTTTAAATAAATTAAAATTAAGCATCAAGATTAGGGGTGGTTCGGTATGGGATACCGAACCGAAAACTATATACCAAATACCGAACTGAAAAAGTTCGGGATGAGATTTTAGCAACCGAAACCGATCCGAAATTTTGCCTTTCCCGAATTTCGGTATTCCCGAATGTTTTTCGGCTTTTCGGTACGGTTCGGGACGCAGCCAACACCAGCAATCTCCAGTGGCTTCTTCACAAGCCTCTTCCTGAGAGATCTTAATACCATTCTCCTCCGCCACCTCCACCATTCTCAGAAAGCAACGACCACGGCGACGACTCTGAATCCACCTAGCTATCAACCCCACACCCACTCCTCTCCATAATCACATCTTCTCATGCCATTTCTGCACAAATCCTTTAGAACCCACATGCAAAAATCCAATCTTTTTCTTCGAGCACGGCGGTGACTCTGAGTCCACCTCGCTCCCAACCCCACACGGCCACACCCACTCCTCTTCACAATCACATGTTCTTATGCCATTTCTGCACAAATCCTTCAGAACCCACATGCAAAAATCCAATCTTTTTCTCTCGAGCTTCAGTGATCATCAAATGGAATTATTTGTTGTGGGTTATGAATCGTGCATGCGCAGCGCTGAGGATTCATAACCCAGAGACGAGAGACCTTCAGAGAGGATAGAGAGAGAAATGGGTCGAGGCCAGAGACGAGAGAGCTTCTTCCTATCTCTGCTTCCCAACACGAAGACTGCTTCTCTCTCTGCCTCAAGAATCAAGATTCAAAACCAAAACAAAAGCTTTGTGCTTTTAGTTTCCAAAAAAGCTTTGTGCTTTTATCCCAAACTAACAAGGCATCACCATCACATGCCTTTTCCATATTATTTTATTTTTGTTCCCTTGCTAGTGGAACCGAAAGGCTCTGCTTTTTATTTTATTTTTTCATTGTTCTTCGCAGATGTAGCGCTGGAAAGTAGGAACCAAAAACAAAAGAAGATTTCGGGACTTCGAGAATACCGAAGAAAAGAAATCTGGAAACCAATTCCATACCGAATATTTCGGTATTTTTTGGTATGGGATTACCAAAGTTTGAGATAGTTTCGGTTTGGGATTTTTCGGTTTGGGTTTGGGATTTTTTCGGTTTGGTTTGGGATTTTCGGGAATTTTTTCCAGCCCTAATCAAGATAATCCGTTTGGGTTGGACCCCACACTAGCGGCAATATGTCGTCGTCCGCACTTTGTTCTAATTCCTAATCCCACCTTCGCCACCCTCCCAAAGGATAAAGAAAATAGAAAAGAAAAACATCAAAGTTACGTTCGGCGCCCGCCTTTTAAATGTGTCAACAAAAATACAGTACCATACCCAAAACCAGGAGAAAAGCCACGATACGACACCCCCTTCATACCAAATTATTAGCAGACCAGAGTGAGTTTCTTTTCTCCTTTTTTTTTTTTCTTCTTTTCTTTTCCAGCAACTTCTTCTTCTTCTTTTTTTTTTTTTTCTTTTTTTTTTTTTTGTGTAATCCTTTGTTTGTTGGACATTTATAATTATTTGATTATGCAAATGGGTCCTCATTATTTTCTGTTTTTGTCCCCTCCAATTTCTTTACTGTAAAGCTACTCTTGGTACCATTACTAGATCTGGAAATTTCTTTCTTTTTTTTCTTTTGCATTTATTTATCAAGTTCCTATCATTTCTGCTTTTGGGTTTGTTGATTTCAAGCTGGATTCGTTGTATCACTTTGTTTCAGAATCTGAAGGTTGGTCTCATTTCTGGAATTATATTCTGATTTATTGGACGAATACATACATATAGATATATATATATATATATATTTTTTTTTTTCTTTTCATATAGCTGGATAATTTTGTGGGTAGGCTTTGGAGATAATTATCTTCTTGAAGAAAGTGATATGAGCATGGATTATCTGATTCTTTTTTGTAGATTTATTTCCTCATTAAAATTTGTAAAAGTTTGTAAATTTTGTTTCTGTTCACTATATTTGTTCCTTTTTACATTTATGTGTTCAATCATGGACTGCTGCCGGTAATTGAATCTGGTTGGTCATCATCAACTGAGTATGTGAAGCTGGGTTTTGTTCGATTCCTCGGCCGCCTTTTCATATTGTCTCGTATTTAAGTTTAGGATGGAGTCTTAACATAAAATATCTTTTATGTCTCTGTCGATGCTTAGTTTGAATGGAATCCTAATTCTTGTATGTATTCGTAATAATCTTTGTTCTGTTTTTCGTTGTAATCTCAAAGGGTTCGTTCTTTGAATGAACCGTTTCTACGCGGTTTAATGCTTTTCATGTCCTTGTTTTTTGAGCAAATGTTCATGTATTTCAATTTTAAACATGTACTTGGATAGATAAAACCATCACCGTTTGAAATTTCATGTTGTTATAATGCTTCAGGTGTATAAATAATTTACAATATGGAAGGTATCGTAGTAAGAAGGGTTATTCCCGCAGACAATAGTTGCCTCTTCAATGCGGTCGGGTAAGCTCCAGTACAACCCTCTATTTTATCCATTGTCTATTGCAATGAAGTGAACTGTGTCATTTAACGTCAAATTTTCTATTCAATTTTTGCCCTTCATTTGCAGGTATGTAATGGATCATGACCAGAAAAAAGCTCCTGAATTGAGACAGGTATATGAACATTCAAGGCTTAAAAGCATACAACAATAGATACAAATCATGGGTGCTTGTGCATATATAGCCCCCGATTTGCATTGTGCATGCATAAGTGCAATACTTACTGATCACTCTCTGATACTTACATTTTGTGATCATCCACGATGTGAAGGTTATAGCTGCAACGGTAGCAAGTGATCCAACTAAGTATTCTGAAGCATTTCTTGGTAAATCAAATGAAGAGTATTGTGCTTGGATTCTCGACTCAGAGAAGTGGGGAGGTTTGTTAAGAAAACTTCCTGTTCGCATGCATCTGAATCTTGGTTACCAAACAAAATGCACAATAAAAAGTTTTTCTCATAATAGTTTGGTTATTTCTTATACACAACTAAGTAGCCAAACCTTAATTATACATGACTGACTTAGATCTTCTTCTAGGGTATTGAGGATTATTGAATTTCATATTTGACAGAAGCTTTGTGTCTTGAATGTTCAAGAAATAGTTTGTGCGGCCACTTGTCTATAAGATAAAGTTCAAATCTTTCTTTTCCTTCGTTGAGGTCTCTGTCCCTATCAGTAACTGGGATACTATTAGATTTGTTTTGCACACTGTTAATTTGCAATCTTGTGTGCAGGTGCCATAGAGCTATCTATATTAGCAGATTATTATGGACGTGAAATTGCAGCGTATGATATCCAGACTACACGTTGTGATTTGTATGGTCAGGTTAGCATTTGTAGCGAATTCTCATGTATATTAATCTTGCCTACTTACCATTTCTGAATGTTTATGCCCATTTTTGTATGCGGTGCTGTTTTGCAGGAGAAGAGGTATTCCGAAAGGGTTATGTTGATCTATGATGGACTTCATTACGATGCTTTAGCTGTATGTGGCTCTGATTATTTTTTTGTTAATTTTCTGTTTACGAATTTTTCTGGTTGTCAATGTGGATGGACTGTTAACAAGTGGCTTCGATATGGCCTCAAGTCGGCGTTAATGATGTGGTTGGCTGAGGGATTTCCAAGGACAGGGATTTAGGCTAAAGTAGGTGGAAAGTTGGAAACGCACTACAAAACATTAGATAGAGGGATCGAAAATGCACCACATGTAACATGAGCATTATGAAGCCACTAAATGGCTAAACAAAGGATTTTCAAATGACTCTTTCAAGTAGTCATTTACAAATCCCTCTAAGTGCATTGCGTCTAGTCATTTCAAATCCATTGATCTATTGTTCTGTTGTGCATTTCTTGCTAATGTATGCCTAAATCCCTTGGTACTTGGTAATACCTTATCCAAACACAACATAAATATTCTTCCCTCATCAGCCATCTTGACAACCGTACGAACCAGATGATTTACTCTTCTGTTCTCTTGTGTGGGTTTGAGCATGTAAAAAACTGGGAGGGGGAGAGGGGAAGAAAAGCCAAGCATGAGCTGGGCAAATTTTTATACTTGTGTGGATAGTTTTTACTTATTCAAGAATAAGTGGTCTTTGTTGTGCATTTGGTAATTACAATCTGTTTATTCACCTGGCATGCTTCTTATTTGGTTCACTGTTTTTGCTATCCCCCGTTCGTGATGGAGGTTGCACTTGATTTTTCCACTTAAATGATGGCTGAATTCTTTATTCTGTTGTATCAGATGTCTCCCTTCGAGGGAGCTCCAGAGGAGTTTGATCAGACAATATTTGCAGTCCATAACGGTTCCATTGGGCCAGTTGAGGGGCTCACTCTTAACCTTGTCAAAGAGCAACAAAGGTATTATACTTTCATGATGGCTTCTAATTTCAGTGCACACGCACAAAAACTATGACGCATAATATGTTAAATCATTATACATGTCCCTTGGGGTTTTAGTCTGTGACTAGCATATTTGGATGTTACCGGACACATAGTATCTGAATTAGGGACTCCTTTCTGACATTTCACGCTAAGCTTTAAAGTGTGCAACTAAGTTTCCTAGTTCACTACACAACCTAGTTACAAACCTATACAACTTGAGCAATTGTTTTCAAATTTATTACAAATACAGTGTCTTGAATTTTCCGGATCTCTATGTGTTGAGGACATACCAGTTGAACCTGTATTGTACTAATGGTAACATTAAATTATAATCAATAAATTTGTTGTCAACTTCAGATGATTAAGAACTATATGACAAATGCCAAATGTGTGTTGCCTAAATTGTCAAAATTCTTGAGGTAATGTGTGTTTCACGTAATTATCTTGGTTACAATGATTGAGTGCATCTTCCTGTTAGGTGTCCATTTTTCCATTGCTCCTACTACTTATGTAGCTGAGATGTATGCATATGTATCTGCATTAACTCTTAATACATGAGCATACCTTAACACCATGATACTTCTTTGTAGTAAGAGGAGATACACGGACACTGCCAACTTCACTTTGCGCTGTGGGGTGTGCCAACTTGGACTAGTCGGCCAGAAGGTTAGTTCCCCACAATACAAATTCTGTTTGCCTTGCCTCCTCGGTGTTTCTTACCGTGTGTGGTTGTGCACATGAAATTTCTTAAGTTCTTATGTTACTGAATAATCTTGTATGTATATATTCAGGAGGCTGTGGAGCATGCACGGGCGACAGGGCATGTCAACTTTCAAGAATACAGATAACAGAATCGCTATCCACTCATTTGTTTCATGCTGTGTCAAATAAGTACAACGTTGGACTGTCGAAAGGCCACCGTGTGATAATATTCAGTCTCGAAATGTTGTATTGTAGTACTGTACCGTCAAAAGGAAGAAAAACAAGGAAAACTAGACTTGTAGTGGGTTGCCCATATCATTTTATGGGGTCTCATGCAACCTGTTGTATCAGCCATTACCCCTCCTTTATTTATTATTTGAGTCTTCTTCATTTTATATGGTTGATTGTCTCTCGAGTTTCTACCAATTTCCAATTACTTTTCGCTCGTTCTTTTTCTCCTTCTACACACTTCTGTTTACACATATTCTTTGATTTTTCTTTTTTTTTTTAATTTATTAAATCCAGTCAATTGGTATTGGAAAAGAATACGAACCGTATAAAATTATCTCATCTCTACAATTTTGTAAGATATATTTACATTAAAAAGTAGAAAATTTGAGTCAAGTCATCTGATGGGTGTGATTGATTTGGTGGCGAAGTGAGAGAATGTGATCGGTTAATCCAACTACTTGGAACCTGAAACCCAAATCTAAGATCCTGGATCCGGCACTCAGGACCGGACATGGGACATCGGAGCGGGACCACAACGCCGGGGACCAATTTAAAATCTAACAGTAACAATGTACCACCATTTTACTCAGTTGATCCCTTCTGGCTTCACGTACGATCTTCCCCATCACCTCGTACCAACCCCACAGTTTTCCAAAATTTCTTAGATTCTCAACAAATTCTACATTATTCTAGAGTGCTCCGAAGTATGAGATACTCAAAGTACCGTCGAAAATCCTGCTTCTTAATTTGAAATTTTCTTTCTAACATCTGCTTTTTTTTCCTTTCCAGTTCTGATTAAAGGGAAAGACAAGTTTTGGACCACAGATTTTCCATTTCCTATAAGAAACTAAAATGAAACATTTCTCATAACAAAATACATCATATTACAGACGGAGGAAATGTTATCGTTCTTCGTCTACCATTTTCAACAAATGGTGTCCTCTGTACTTGAAATGATACAAATAATGACTCGCGCTTTCTGAATCGCTTGCAAAGACCCCCGAAACCAGACGTGGGAGTCCATGATCATCTGCATTTTATTCAGAGACTCCTTGCGACCGCCGTTGAGCATTTCCTAGTGGCAGGAGTTTGTACCTTGCGCGGTGAGAAATGGAACTACTTATTCTTGCCTGGGTTTATCAGTTTCGTTTTATGAGCAAACTCTGCCTCACTACTAGATCTTCTGTTTAAGCACATGACGCAGCTGGACCTTATGACTGTCCAACCTTGCCTCCAAAAGCTTTGCCTTCAAACTATGCTTCTGGGCGCCAAGCGGAATGCACCCTTTCATACCCCGAATGTGATGCCCCGTCTCAGGAGAATTCCACTGCCCCACTAAATCAGAGGGGCTAAGCCCGCCTTTACCCGAACCCCGATCAGGGGATACCAGACCCCTAGTGGATATCCTTCCATTCGATAGCCTACCGTTTATTCCCTCTAGCGAGATTATCTTGTAGTTTTCCCCATTGTTTTGGCCAGACCTCCAAAGCCTTGCTATTGATGATACCTTCTTCGTCTGCTTTGTTGGTACCGAGCAAACCTCGCTGATTTCAGTAATTGGTGTTCCCTCAACTTCTTCTTCCCATTCTGTTCCACTCTCTGAGACATTACTCTCTCGGCGATTCTTATTGACAGATGGGGCACTCCCGTCTGGCGAATAGCTTGAGCCCTGATCCTCGAGATGGCTCACAGTTTCCCAACCACTCTCATCTTCTTCTATATCACCATTATGACCAACAAATGCAACTGGATGTCTCTGGATCCAGTCGTTATTGATTCCATTGCCTTCAGGACTCACAGTACGAATTTTTGAACCATGGCTAGCAGGACTGTAAGCAACACACTGCTCAATCTCCCTCTCATTAGGCTCACCAAAATTAACTTCTTCGAACACAGAAAAGATATCATCAGGATTGGGGGGTTCATAAAAAAAGTCCTTGACGTCTTGAATATTTACAGCAGCAGCAGCCTGTCGCAGATATTCTACTTCTCTCAATTCCTTCACATCTGGCGTTGCACTTCTTGACGTCAGAAAATTCTCCAGATCTGCCACAATCTTGTTCATCAGAGAATACTTCTCCTCAACTGCCACCTTTGCATCAACCAGCTTCATTTGGACACGTTCCTCACGCCAGACTTCTGCCATCTGCAACATCTTCCTTTCCTCGTCCACTTCCTCTCTGAGTTTCATGGATTCTCTCTTCAATGCTTCAACTTCAGCCTTGTCTTCTCCAAGTTCCTTTGCAAGCTCATCACATACTTCTTCAATCAATTCTCTGGCCTTTCTTTCTTTCTCGTACTCCTGCATGTATCGCTTTGCTGATAACTTGACATCAGCAAGCTCATTAACCAATTTGGAATTGATTATCTCAGTTCTCTGACGACTCTTCCTTTCCCGGTTCAATTCAGACTTCATGTCATCAATAAATGCGCGGACTTTCTCATGCTCTCGGCTCCTCCATGAAACTCTTTCCTCACTGACATTCCTTAAGAAGTGCTCAAGTTTCTTTTTTGAGGAACACCGTTCCATCTCAAGCTCCTGAATGCGAGCTCGTGCCTGCTCTAGCTCAGCTTCAAGTACAGATACAACTGATACAGCACTTGCTTGTTGGTCAAGAAGCTTCATTTGGCTGTAAATTTGCCGTACCTCATCTGATGTTTTCAAGCAGACTGGATCCCATTTTGTTTGCCCCTCCATGACAGAGTTGGATAACTGAAATGAAGGTTGAACTTAAAATTAGAGGTAACACCACAGGAAAAACAGACCTTAAACAGCTTTGGGAAAAATTGATGTTGAGAAACAAATTTAACGAAGAAAAAGTTAAAAGGACGAGACTGTTTGTTATATAACTTCAGAGAATATATACAAGTGACATGTTTCTTAGCCAGCTGAGCTGCACCTGAACGCATTTCGGCATTCCATATTAGTTCCAACAATCCGTACATGTACATATGCATATAATAACAAATCTTCATATTGTAGCCTTTTCTCTTTATTTGGAAAACGGCCAAGCCTTAGTTGTTGCATAATCTGAAATTACTTCATGATTCTCCCTCACAAATTTCCATCTTCTTGCTAGAGCTTTCTGGGATTGCTAATGCTGCTTTTTAGACAGCTATATCTTTTAATCCAGCTAAAGAATTAGCTATACGTCCCATTTTACACCAAATTTCTACTTTATTTTTCATCCAAATATGATCATTATTCTCTATTTCGTAGCGTATATGAGTAATTAAAATTAAATATTTAAATTCACCCATGAGAAATCCTAAGAGTAACACTGCTTTAACCTTATAACATAATATTCAATTTCTGAGGACAGCAAAACAGATGACTACTTGATGAAACATCTATTTTTCTTCCAAAACCAACGATTCTTAATGAGTATCCATAAAGCCAATCCTTGCAAAGCAAATCATCTGCCAAGGTTCATGCCAAATAGCTTGCCTTAAAGGACTGCTCGGCATGTGTGACACGTGCACAAGATGATAAAGGTATCTTGTTGTAATTGCTTTAAAAAAATATAAAAAAAAAAAAATCTGTATCGTATTGTACTTAAGTTCATAAAAGATGTTGTTCATTCAGAATTTACAGATCATTGTATGAATTTAAGGAAGAGATGTACCTTGGACAAGAACCCATTCCTTGAGGTGGACCTAGGGCTTTGTAAAAGATCATTTGCTTCAGAAGCATATCCTTTGCTGTTACGATTACGGAGAAATGGTACCCCAATATGGACAACGTCAGGCTGAAAAGAAGACAACAGCAATGAATATCAAAATCCAGAGTATACAACAGCATTAATACTGGCTGGTTGAGGGCAAGGCATGATAGGACAAGACGTATTAAAACAGCACGCAAGGACCCGGGGATCCCAGAACAATAAAGGAAAGCGTAATGAGCCGGAATTTTCAGAAATCATCAAAGCATTGCATAAATGCCGTTACCATCATATCTTGAATATCACAGTTCCATGTTAATACATTCAGATAAACATGACACCACTAATTTTAATTAAGAAAACAATACAGGACTAATGAAAGATCTCAACAGTCAATTAATTACCAAAATAAGAGATACTTAGCAGGAAATTGATGGAAACTTACAAGCATTACCGCATTAGTAAAGATTTCATGCTAATTTAAGAACACATTTTCTCAGTAAGATCGATCAGAGTTGAAATCACAACGCCTGGTTTCTTAGTCCTCAATTCGAAAAATCGAAACGAAACACGAAGATAACAACAGTACCGTAGATATCAACACCAACATTAGTATTTATCAAACTAAAAGAACACCAGATTTAACAACTTCCAATGAATTAACGAGAAAATTAAACAACTTTTTTTGACATAAAAAGGTCAACCTCCAATCAAATGCGATTCAACCAAGGTTGCAAAGAAGACCCATTTGACCATAAAATTACAGATCTTTGAGACCAAGCTCACCTGAAACCCTAGCTTCCCATTACGTCCAGGTACACTGGAACCCGTCTCCGGTAACTGCAGCCGCCACAGACCACCGGCAAGCTTCCTGGCCGACAAGGGGGCCTCTCTTCCCTTCCTGCCCTTTCTCCTCACTCCGTCCTCTCTTTCCTCCTCACGGGCATTTTGGTCCTTTCGCCTCTCCCCGTGCCCCTGGCGCTCTTCTGGGCCTTCGTCAATCTTCCACTTGAGCAAAGGCGTCTCGGGTCGGCTCCGCTTTCCGGTCGGAAGTCCGGCCCGCTTCAACCGGGCCGAACCGGGTGCCCGGGTCTTCTTGCGGGTGGTGGGGGGCCTGTGGAGGTGAAGATCGGAGTCCGGCGGTGGGAAAGTTGGCGAGAGGTGCCGGGGCTTGCTGGGTATCTTCATCTTCTCGAGTGAGATTCAGCCATTTAGAGAGAGAAAGTAAAGGGTTTTCTGGTGTGTGTGCAGTGTGGGTGTACTGTGAAATGGGAAGGAAGTGCAGAGAGAGAGAGAGAGAGAGAGAGTTAGAGAGAGAGAGAGAGAGAGAGAGAGAGAGAGAGAGACTGAAACACGGACAGGGATGCATACAAGCACACAGACATGTACAGAGGAGGTACTTTAGGTAAGAAAAATACAATATTAGAGTGTATAAACATACGAACGTGATTTTCCATGTATGTATAATGTATTTCTACGGTCAACTACGTATCTTACTCCTG